TTTATGAGCTACTAGGATTTGCCTGCTGTCCTAAATGTGGCTTATCTAACTTTTATTATCATTTCCATTCTCCAGTGTCAGTTTTAACTATCAGACCTAGTTGATGAGCAGACTAGAGATGCTCATTCTTCTCTCCCTTATTCAAATAAATCCTGTTCCAAATTTAGATACTACATCTGTCCAGGTGTATAAGATGTTCTGTGCTCAGGGAAAGCAGTTTTACCTCTGCTCTTTTTCTTTCCTTTCCCAGCAGTTTAAGTTTATTTACTGTTTTTTTTTTCTTTCTATTTTTACCATGCAAGACTTGTTCTACATCCCTCTTCACTTTGTCATTGTGTCACTTTCCTTTCCTGAATAGGAAGCTCTCCTCTGTTTATTTTAACTGTCTTTCTCTGACCCTCCTGTCTCCCTGTGCCTTTGGTCTCTCATGTGATCTCCATCTTGGCAGATGAGTATGTGGTACTGATCTACAGCCCCAGGCACCCCGATTTCAGCAAGACTGTCTGTCTTAACCCTTGATATTTCCCCTTAAACTGAATGAAGAAGGTGCAAACTCATAAATGAAACATTTTACTATAAAGCTACTTAAAATGAAGGTCTTCCAGGAGCTATCCACACAGTTTTCCACTTAACCAGGAAATGTTTCCCCTCTACATTCAAAAAATTCATGTTGTTGTATTATGTTAGAGTTTACACTAACTGATAAATATCTTAAACTTGGGGGGGGTGGGCAAGAGGGGAGATTACAACTGATTGCTAGGAAACCTAGTCCTAATAAAGCCAATATCTGCAGGGCTGGCAAGAAGTAATTTAGGTTCTAGTTGATATTTGAGCATAATTAACTATAAAAAAAGTTCAAATTTCAAAATATCCCCTCCAGCTGGAGTCACACAAATTATCATTGTTAGCCTGAAACAGTGACACATCCCAGCTGCCTTTGCCAAAGTGGCGTGTGAGTCCTCTTACATTACTTCATTCACTGTTGTCAACCTGCATAATTGAGGATTTTGTTTCAGTTTTTACTTTTCCAGAGTCTCAAAAAAAATATTTGGATGCCATTTGAAGTCTTTTTATAATTCTCCAAGACTGTGTTTCCTAGGTAACATTTCAATGTCTCATTTTATACTTAAGTACATACATGGCCATACCAATTATTGACTAATTTTAGTCTTTAACTTGAATTAGTTGTAAGTAATATTTTTCTCCAATAAAAGTAGTATTAAAATGAGAATTGATTATCTACATTCTACATTCTGACTTAGGTTTCTTTTAAAAAAATACCCTACTAAATGTTAAAAATTTGAGCGAAGAATTGGAATATCTTGATTGTATGACTTTGCTTATTCAAATCCTCTGGAATTTGTATAATCCAAGACTTTCAGTGAATATACAAAGAAAGTAAGTTTAATTAAAATGTCAGTTTCCTATATGTACTTATTTATTTCAAACTATGAACGATTATTTTAGGTAACATTTTATGAAACACTGGAGGGCACTATTGTGAAATTTCCATAGCAAGAAGAGGAATGTGATGAATTTGACAGAACTGCTTATGGAATTTTGAATAAAAATGTCATGTCTCATAGAGGTGCTTGGTACTTGTTTTGTAATGATGCCAATTGCACAGAATTAGCCTCCTGGACTACAATTGGATACTGCCATAGTTCAAGTACAGCTGACCAAAATGTGCACATGAGTGTGGTCAGTGATAGTCAGCTTATAACAAAATGAGCAAAATGAGTCTTAATTGAATCCTAGAGTTTAACATTCTTCAAAATCTCAGTAGAAATACTGGAATGTGAGCTTTGGAATGAATCTCTTTCCTCTGGTAGCAGTTTATGCTCCTTTGGAAGGGTGAGAATTGTTCCATTTATGGACAGTAAATACAGGGCAGTATCTGTCACACAGGGCCAGTGTCTTCAGTGGTCCCATGTGCTCTGAGAAATGGTCCTGGATGTAGGATATTTAAAGCTCTGGAGTCAATTGAATGGAATTAGTTTTATCACATGTGGATAGTTACTGGAATTGTTTCTTGCTATTCTGTTTGTTCTAGAAGGTATCTTTGGTTTTTCTCAAATCTGTAAAATAGTTTAGATTTGCTAACCTCTTTCTTCCCATTATCTGTACTTTATTAAGTTAGTCAGATCTCTGGTCCTCGGTTATCTTCTCTAATGTGAGGTGGCAGACTAGCACAAACAACTTTAATTTTTCTTCTCAACATATTTTTTGTATCCTTTTGCTATGTCCTGGTGATTTTTTTTGTTATGGTAAATTTATATAATAAAGTTTACCTTTTTAACTATTTATAAGTGAACAGCTTAGGTGGGATTAAATACAATCACACTCTTGTGATGAAGAGAAATTTTACAGAGAAGAAAGTTAAGAGGTGTAGAATGTACATAGAAAAATTTGTATCAGAAGCTGAGCTGGACCCAAATATACATGTGTAGGGGATATTGATGTGACTAGATAAAATATTTATTCTTTTATGTCTTTCTAATGCCAAGGGTAATTAGGAAAATAAAGTGATGTGGTATGCATGTTATATGTGACTATAGTTAACATTTCACATATGTATATGGTTACATAGAGTAAAACATCCTTAATATTCATAAGTTTAATATACATGCTTCAAAGTATTATCAAGCATCCCTATGGGTGCATTTCATGTGTTTATTTCTGATTTTATTTTAAATGCCTGAACTTGCTATATGGATAAGAGTTCAGTGAACCACTGGTCACTTGCTACTCAAGAAGGCTATTTGTTTCTTTACATGACCCACATAGTATATCTATGACAGTAATGAAAACTGTTTCAGTGCCAGTTTAAAAAAGACCCTATAAAGAAAGCTAAGTGTAAAAATTAGGTGACTTTAAAAAATGGTGAAAATAGCAGTAGAGGGAACATGCTGTGTTCATTGTTAAGAGAGACATTGATAAGAGGGTTACCAAATTTTAACAGTGACTCTGGTCCTTGACATGTACAAGTTCATCTTTACTTAATCATGAATAAGAAAATTAGACAAGCAAAACTCGTTTAGCAACTTCTTGAGCCCCAATGCAAAATATTGTGAAAAATAAGACTTTAGTGAAAGTAAAATGACAGATAACTTGTAGTATTAATATATGTATAGGAAAAATGTGACTGTTGAAAAATGTGAATTGAGTGAAAATCAGGGACTGTCCAAACATATTCATGAAATGTTTCCATTAAATCCATCTTCCCATGAGTGAGGACTGGTTTAAGAAACTTGGAGAGATTCTACCCATAACATGACAGAATAGGAAGGTTATAATAAACCCCTTCCTTAAATACAACTATAGAGAAACTAAATTTTTCTCTCAGAAAATTTCATCAGTTCATCCCCAGTGATGGGGAACTGTTTTACTTTGAGGTTGGTGGCTTGCTGTTGGGATGGAATAGGGAGAGAGAGAGTAAGGGATTTGTGGCCCAGGTAGTGACCATGCCAGTAGGCTGAAAAAGATGGGGGCCAGGCACAGATTATGTCAGCGCAAAGATTCATGCACAGGATATTACTTATTTTAGTGAGCTGGAGTGCATTACACACAGGCACTGGCACAGTTGTTTTAGTTGTCAAGAATCTGGCCTCCAGTAATGTGGCTATTGTAGCCCCCCTCCACATTCCCTGTTGTGAGATCTGAGGGAGAAAGGCCTGCTGTTCTGAGCACCTACAGAGAGGATGGCAAGGAGGTAGGGTCCTGGAATTTGAGGTTCCTGAAGCAGTGAAGACTGTTTACTCTGTAAAGAAAGATGTGGTAATGTAAATCTGTCAATCTAAAATATCTATCCTGCCCTACCAAGACTGATACAGTTCTTTGGAATTCAATATTCCCCTTCCCTCACCTTGTAACAGGTTAAATAAAGAAGATAAACTAACAAAATTAAAGCCACAGCATCCCAGCTGGAAAAGGCAAATAAGGAAGCACACATACTTAGGAGACAAGGAGCATCTGCAGACAAGATGGAAAAATGACAAAGAACAGAAATCCAGAGACCTATATGTGGACATAGCATTCAAGGACCTAACAGACAATGATTTTAGAATAATAGTCTTAAAAAAAGATCAACAAGGTCATAGGAGCTCAATCAAACACAGAAAAATAGGTGCAATATTTTAGAAAAGAGATTCAGGAACAAAAATTCTTCTTTATTAGAGAGATTGAAGATATTAAAAAGACCCCAAATAAAATTACCGCAAATATGGAAAGCATATTAAGGAAACTTTAACAGACAGAAGAGAATTTCGGAAATACACAGATGACTCAAGTAGAAGGAGAGAGAGAAATACGATTTAGGAAAAATAAAATAGAAATATCAGACTCCATCAGAAGAGGAAACATAAGAATAATGTGTATTACAGAAGGTGAAGAAAGAGAAAAGGGAGTGAAGGCCTTATTAAAAGAAAAAAGTAGTTGAGAACTTCCCATACCTAATGAAAGAATTGAATATGGAAATCCAGAAAGCTGAAACAACACCCAAATTTCTAAATACAAAACAACTTTCAAAACACATCACTGTTAAATTATGAAAAGCGACTGATAAAGAAAATATATTAAAATCTGTTAGGGAAAAAAAGAATGTAATACAAAAGCACCTTGATCAGACTTTAAACCGATCTCGTAGCAGGTACAGGCAAGGCTAGAAGAGACTGAATGACATTTTTCAATTCTTAATGTGTAAAAGCTAACAACCAAGAATGCTCTATGGTGCAAAATTATCATTCCAGTATGGTGGAGAAATAATGGCTTTTCTAGACCTGCCCTATAAGAAGTATTGAAAAGAAAAGAACAAAAGAGAAAAAAGCTTGAGATTACAATAGTAATCTGGAACCAGAGGTATAAATAAAATTTAATTTGATACAACAAAAACAAAACATTAAAAGGAGGAAGGAAAGGACAAATACTGTATAGTCAAATGATGATGAGCAAATACAAGTACATGAAAACTATTTGAGATAGTTTCATACAATCCTCTTTGTAGCTTTGCACAGTGACAGTATCGTAGCCAATGAGGTTTATTGAGGCACGATTATTGCGAATTGAAAACTTTTCCCATACAACCCTCTTTGTAACCATAAAATAAAAATCTACAAACAAGAAATAATGAAAATGAGAGAGCCATTAGGAAAACCATCCAAATGAAAAGGAGGATAGAAACACATGGAAAATGAAATAAGAGAAAGATAATACAACCAAAAGACAAACAAAAGAATGGCAGTAAATAAGCCCCATATATAAATAATCACTTAGACATGAGTGGTCTGATCTTGACAATTAAAAGACATAATGATTGTTGGGCCTCCCTGGTGGTGCATGGGGTTAAGCACTGCACTAGAAGCAATCTGCAGCCTTTGCAGCACAAGTTTAATACCCGGCCAGCCAGAGAGAAACCCACATGATGCAGCAGAACTCTCCTGTCTCGCCCACTACTCCCCTCAGCCCACTACTCCCCTACTGACTGAATTTCAGTCAGTCTGCCTGTTCTGTTCCCCACTCTGTCTCTGGTGAATCCTCTCATCCCTCTGCATCTCTGGCCCGTACCCCAGCTCTTGTATGCAGAAATAAATAAATCTTTTAAAAAAAAGACATAATGATTGGTTGGATAAAAAGCATGCCTTTACTATATAATAGGTGCACAAGAAACTCTAGATCTAAAGAGAAACTTAGTCTTTTTTTGTTGTTGTTGTTGGGACCCTTGCTGGCGGCCGGGGAATGAACTGGCACTGCAGAGGCTGCAGGCAGCCTCTGCAGTCCAGCGCTCAACCGCTGTGCCACCAGGGGAGGCCCGAGAAACTTAGTCTTAAAGTGAAAAGATAGAGCAAGGTATTTCAAGTCAGTACACAGAGAAAAATGTAGAAAGTGCTATTCTCATACTTGATAAATTAGACTTTTAGCCAAAAAACATAATTAGTGACAAAGGTGGTCACAATAATTGTCAAGGGGACAATTCATTAGGAAGATATACATGTCATCAATGTTTGCACATCCAACTCAGGTACACCCAGTTATATAAAAAAAAATATTAGCAGAACTAAAGCAACATAATGACAGCAGCACACCAATAGCAGGACATCTCAACACATCAATTACATCAATGGAAAGATCATCCAGATAGGATGTAAACAAGGAAATAATAGCCTTTAATGAAGCTCTGGATCAGATGAACTTAATAAATATCTCTACAGAACCTTCTGTCCCAAAAGAGATTTTTCTTAAGTACAAAGGGAATTTTCTCAAGGATAGATCATAGACTGGGAAACAAAACATGTCTCAAAATTATATATCAAAATTAAATTTATATTAACCATCTTTTTCATCACAGTAGTTTAAAGTTAGAAATCCATCACATAAATAAATCTGAAAAAAAAAAAAAACAAAACAAGTGTCTGGAGACTAAACAAAATGATTTGAATAACTGCTGGGTCAACAAAGAAATCAAAGTGCAATCAAATATTATCTGGGACCAATGAATATAAAATCTCAAGCTACCAGATATTATGTGATGCACCAAAAGCAGTACTAAGAAGGGAGTAAATAGCTGTACAGGCCCATATTAACAAAAATCTCAAGCAATCTAAATTTACATCTGAAGGAATTAGAAAAGGAAGGACAAACAAAACCAAAAGTCAGCAGAAGCATACAAATAATAAATATTAGAGGAGAAATACACAAAATAGAAATAAAAAAAGATAATGCAAACACCTTTGAAATGAAACCAACAGGAGGCTTTTTTTTTTTAATGTATAAACAAAATTGGTGAGTCTGTTAGCTAGCCTCACTCAGAAGAAAGAAAACCCAAATAAGAAAGACAAAACTGAAAGAGGTAAAATTACAGAGACCACAGAAATAGAAAGGATTGCAGTAGAATACTGTGAATACCTGTATGCAAAAAATTTGGGCAATCTAGGAAAAATGAACAAATGTTTAGACTCAAGACACCCTTCTAAGATATGAAATAGATAACTTTAATAGAAATATCAAATACACAGAAATCGAAAGAGTAGTCAAAAGGCTCCCTAAGAACAAAAATCCAGGGCCAGAAGACTTTATGAGTGAATGGCAACAAACCTTTAAAGAAAATCTATTACCAGGCCTCCCCAGTGGCGCAGCAGGTTAAGCGCCGTGCTGTGAAGCTGTCCGCAGCTCGGCAGTGCGGGTTCGATCCCGGCCTGCCAGCGAGAATCCCACATGGTGCAGCAGACCTCTCCTGTCTCACCTGTTGCTCCCCTCAGCAGTATATTTCTGTCATCTGCCTGTTCTGCTCCCTGCTCTGTCCCTGATGAATCCTCTCACCCTCCCACACCTCTGACCTATACCCTAGCTCTTGTATAAAAATAAATAAATCTTAAAAAAAAAAAAAGAAAATCTATTACCTATCCTTCTTAAATTCTTCAAAAAAACTGAAAAAGGAAAACTCCCAAATACATTTCACCAGATCAACTTTACCTCAATCTCAAAACAAACAGGGACAGGACAGCAAAAGTAAACTATAGCCTAGTGTCTCTGATGAGTATAGATGCCAATATTCTCAACAAAAATTGTTACTATATTAAGAGAACCATTCAACATGACCAGTTAGGTGTCATTCTAGGAATGCAAAGTTGCCTCAACATATACAAATTAATCAATGCATTTGCCACAAAACAGAAAGATAAAAATCATATGATCATTTCAGTAGACACTGAAAAATCATTTGCTTATGTTAATTCTTTTTTTTTTAATTTTTTTTTAAATGATTGTCTTTTTATTTATTTATACAAGCACTGGGTACAGTCAGAAGCGTGGGAGGGTGAGAGAATTCACCAGAGCCAGAACGGGGAACAGAACAGGCAGAAGGACTGAAGTACACTGCTGAGCGGAGCAGTGGGCGGCAGGAGAGGTCTGCGTGCCATGTGGGACCCTCGCCTGGCAGCCGGGGATCGAACTGTCTCTGCAGAGGCTGTGGGCAGCTTCGCAACCCAGCGCTCAACCGCTGGGCCACCGGGGAGGCCCTGCTTATGATAATTCTTACTAAAACAGGAATAAAAGGAACTTATCTCAACATATTTTTTTTAAAGATTTATTTTTATTTATTTATACAAGGACTGGGTACAGTCAGAAGCACAGGAGGGTGAGAGAATTCACCAGAGCCAGAGCGGGGAGCAGAGCAGGCAGAAGGGCCGAAGTACACTGCTGAGGGGAGCAGCGGGTGGCAGGAGAGGTCTGCGCACCATGTGGGACCCTCCTCTGGTGGCCGGGAAGCAGCCAGGGAGCGAACCGGCGCTACAGAGGCTGCGGGCAGCTTCGCAAACCAGCGCTCAACCACTGCGCCACCGGGGAGGCCCCTATCTCAACATATTTAAGGCTGTATATGATAAGCCCATAACCAAATTCATGCTCCACTGTCAAAACCAAACCAAACCAAACCAAACAAAACTGGAAACATTTCCCTTAATCAGGAATGAGTTGAGACTGTTGATTTTCACCACTACTGTTCAACACAGTATTCGAAGTCCTAGCCAGAGCAATTAGGCAAGAAAAAGCAAAAGTAAACCAGTGATGCTCAATCAAACAAACAAAAAAACATTTTGTACCACAAAAGAAACCCATAAAAAACAAAAAAGCAGTCTACAGATTAGGAGGAGAAAATATTTGAACATCATATATACAACAAGTGTTTAATTTCCAAAATATGTAAAAAATTCATGTAATTCAATAACGAAATAACAAAATACAGCAGAAGAAAAAAATGGACAAAAGGCCTAAATAGGTATGTCTCTAAAGGAGATTTTTATATTGTCTGTGGACACATGAAATAATACTTAGTATCACTTTTTATCAGGGAAATATAAATTGAAACCACAATGAAATTTTACTACTCTGTGAGAATTGCCTATATCAAAAAGACTGGAAACAGCAAATGCTGGTGAGGATGAGCAGGGAAAGGAACACTCATCCACTGTGGGTGGGAATGTAATTTGGTCCAAATTTAATTAATTTTGGTATGGAATCTGATAAGGCAATTCAAAAAAAAAAGAAGGAAATACCTTATGGTTCATCAATACAATTTCAAGGTCCCTTACCCAAAGAACATGAAAGCACACAAAAAGTTTTATGCACTCCTATGTTCATAGCAGAATTAACCACAATAGCCAAGTCATGGATTCTAAATGCCCATTTACAGAAGACTGGATTAAGAAATTATAGAATATATGTTCAAATGGAATACTATCCAGCTTTTTAAAAGATGATATACTTACACCTATGGAATAAAAATTTATGGAGCTTGAGGTGATTTTGCTAAGTGAGTAAGTAAAAAGTGAATGAAAAGTATTGGATGATTTTACTCTTTTGTGGAATATAAATAATCCAAGAAAATGAACTGGCAAAGCAAGAATAATTTGTAGACTTTCAAAAAATAAACTGGTTGCAAGAGGGGTAGAAAAGTCATAGGGTTGTGGAACTTTGGACTTGGTGCTGGGCAAGTGAGAGATGTGCACATATGGAGGTGTGACATACTCCCCCAATCATGTAGGTACGTGAAGTACTGGCAAATCAATAAAATTTGAGAGGAAATAAGAAATTTAGCAAGTCCCCTTCTTTGTCTCCCCTCCCACACCAGTGATGCAGATCTAATAGTAATGGTCACATCAGAGTTGACTGCCTTCCCAGAAAGTAACTTTCTTGGCAGCTGAAGACACACCCAGGGCAGAAGGCTGAACAGCATAGCATCACCATCTATGCCTTTGTGAGCATATGTATATCATGATGGGCAGTGAATCAGATTTAATGTAGGTAAGGATATTCCCTTTTCTTATGTGAAACCTGGCTTCTCTTCAAAGATACAGAATCTCCTATAGCCCTTTCTACCCTGCTGTATTAATTTTCTATTATACACAACAAATAACCACACATTTAGCAGTTTTAAACAGTACACATTTACCATTTTGCTATTTCTTTGTGTCAGGAATCCAGATACTCCAGCCTGGTCTTCTGCCCAGCATCTCACATGCCTGCAATCAAGGTCTCAATTGGGACTGAATTTTTTCCTACAGCTTCAAATAACTCACAAGCTCATGTTGTTGTTAGAATTCAGTTCCTCACAGTAATAGTACCGAGGTCCCATTTTCTTGCAAGCCATC